AAGAAATTGTGCTGACCCATTATTGGTTGAGCAATGGCAATGTGTTTCCCCAAAATCATCTTGGATGGCATAAATAAGCTGTGCATTATTTCAGATAATCTTTTTCAGCTAAGTTACAAAGTTAAAGGTGGTATTAAGGGTGGGGTCAACTAAATAAGATATACCACAAAAAGTCCAGAGATATGATTATTTCTTAGTGTGTATAGTGTGTATTCTTATTTTGGCTGGATATAATAGCGGATTTCTAATATACTCAGGTTTTAAAATAAAAGTGGATGAAAAGCACGAAGGTTCTCTTGCCTCTCCCCCTTTATGAGTGGTGATGGTTTCAATACCCCCTATGACTATATTAATATCATCTGTTAACTGATAAGTATGGAGGGATATTTATGTTATCTACATACTCTTTTGAGCACATAGCATATCATGTCAAGTAAGGAAAATTACATTGTCAAAACATTTGCGCCCCCTCCCCCAGCGCTTAAGAAAAAAGAGATGGATGCTCACATTGAGTTGTCGAGCCCCCTTAACTATTCGTAATTTTGCAAATGTTAATTGAAATTTCCACCAACGTTGCCATTAGAATAGAACAAATCTTTTTTTTACTTTCCTGCAATGACAGACAAAAAACCTAATGCAAACGTTTGTGTTTCATCTTTAAAACTATGATTAATTCAATTTCTTCGTCTTCCTAATTTCTTTCCCTAATTATACTGGGGTACATGAAGGTTTCTCCATGAAATGACCACTTTCCTAGTATGATTTAAAAATACATAATCATCAGTCTCCCAAAATACGCAGGACCAATGTTATTGAAGCCCGTGAGTTTTCATGGTCAAATTTGAATCAACCGTAAAATATCTTTATTTTATAAAGTGACTACAATGTCTAAAATAGCAGTTTTTGTCAAAGAAACAATTTAATTCAGGAATCAAAGTTATCTCGTCATGTAAAGATACCGGTAGCTTTCACAACATATTGTGATATATTCTCTTGACTGGACAAGGTATTAAAGTCGGCGTTTGTCAACAAACCAGAAAGTTATCATGTCCACATACTTATCAGATAACTTTCCTCTGACGCCCAGTAGGCTAATCAATCTTTATGCGAGTGTGATATGAAAACAATCTAGATTCGGAAATTAAATGTAGAAAAGGTAGGTTAAATCTCCTATCAGTTCCCTATATATTATTTAATCAACGACTACATAATATTCATTTTATCGCATCAGTCCACGACCTTTTTGATAACCCTTAATATGCAATACTCTATTTCTTTTCCTTTTTGATAATTTAGTTACATAATTTAGGGTTCAGAAAAACAATGTCAAAGATATTCCGAGCTCATGTGGACAATCATTTTTATACCACCATCTCGGTTAAATATACAGTGTTAAACATTCATAAAATTCATGTTTATTGGGTGTTGCTCAGGAAATACATTTGACAAGTTTAAGGACCTTAATGATAACAGGTAGATTATTTGATGAAGATAGTATTTAGAATTTTTATTGTTAATGTGAAAAAATCATTGTATGTAATGGGACGTCTCAATTTCTTAGGAAACTTTTTTAAAAAGTAACTTAAAGATATTTAAATCATGTAAATTAATAAAAGGAAATTCTTCATAAGATTTCACATTTTTCTCTACTTTAACGCTGTAAATTAAAAAAAATGGAATTTTCCGAAAACAATAGTTTTCAAAGTATTTATTCACTATTTTATGATGGCATATTTATGCTGTCAAGAAGACAATTTTTGTTGACATGGCAACATATCATATGTCAACATGTCATCATAACATAACAACATAACTATATCGTCAAGACGTGATAACTTTCTTGTTTGTTGAAACACGCCGACTTTAAACCTGGTTCGGTCAAGAGTATATATAACAGTATTTTGTGAAAGCTACCGGTATCTTTAATTGACAAGATAACTTTCCTTCATGAATAAAATTGTTTCTTTGACAAAATCTTCAATTTCAAACATTGCAGTCACGATATAAAATAATGATATTTAACCTGTGCTTCAAATTTGACCAAAAAAACTCAGGGGATTCGATAAATGTTGATTGTATAACAGTAACATTATTGCTAAACATCTTAGTGTACATATCTAGGAGAAGGGGAAAAGGAAAAAGGTCATTGCACATAACCAATTAACCATGCATTCATTCTGTGTTTCAATTTTCTTAGAAAGGCTGAAAGATACAAAGTTAATTTGTACAGAAACACATAACAGTCAATCATAAAATATTCATACATGCAACAAATATACTATATCTAGATCATCATATGAAATTGAACTACCCTATATATATTGGATTCCGAAAATTCATAAAAATCCTTACAAACAAAGATACATTGCGGGTTCCAGTAAATGTTCAATCAGGCCTCTTTCGTAGCTCCTCACTAAGGTATTGACAGCAGTGAAGGACAAACTTCAAGAGACTGTGCAACAATATATTCTAGAAGTTGTATATATCAGATGTGGATACTCAAAAATTCCAAATAACTGTTGGATAATTTGAATTCACAAGATTTTACCAAAATCAACAGCTTAAAAACTTATGACTTTTTAACTTTATACACAACCATTCCTCACGATAAATTTAAGTCCAGGCTTTTTGATATCACTGACAGATTTTCAATAAAAATGGAACTCGAAAATTTACTTACCTGGTTATTGGTCATTTGCAAAATTATTTTGTTAAAAACATTCTGATTGCACACACAAGTACTCTGAAATTGACAACAAAGAGATTCTTGAGAGCCGAATTTCCATAACCTCACATCTAATTATAACTATCGTTGTGTGTTGGGTGGTCTTTAACCATGTAACAAAATTAAGTAAAGATGAAAGATGATTTTTCTGTCGCGATATCTTTCTCAAACAAGATGCGTTTGTGAAATACTGATGCCCCTGTTTGGTAGCTTATGGCTAGGAATAACGTTTATCATATACACGTCAGACTCTAAGGTCAAGGTAAAATTATAAGTATCAAAAGAAAGGTCTTTTCATAAGTGATAAACATGTGAAATATCATGAATATGAAAGACCAATATTTACTGTTACAGCCAAATTTATTTTTTAAAGAAGATCAAAGTCTAAGGTTATTAAGGTAAAAAAGCTGTTACCCAAGAAAGGTTTTGTCACACGTAATACCCATGTAAAGTATGAAAGCCTTTAGCTGTTTAAAGATTATGGTGAAGCAGGATTTGAGGACTGCCTGTTTCTGTGTTTCGCTCCTTTCGGTTTACAGCAGGTTACGTGAACTAAAGATTAAAAAAACTGAGAGAGCTGGGTTCATTACTTAGTGTGTTACTGCGGGCTGACGAGGGAAGAATGCATTGATCAATGTATCTTAACGTGGTAGGTACTGTAAGTTATGTCTGAATTAAGTCCTACATACTTGCAAAAGGCTTTCAGAGAGTTTGTTAGTGTGTACTAAATGAGAATTATGTATACTGTATTACACAGTTTTGGAGAATTTCTTTCAGCATTGGAAGGGATGTGCGGTCTGGAAAATCTGAAGGAATGGTGTACATATTCGTCGGTTCAAATCTGTGATTGATCATGAGCTTTTAAAATCTACTGATTATGTTGTTGAGATAAAACAGTTAAAACCAATAAACGAAACCATAAAATTTAACAATATCAATACAATTGTTAAATCTGCGTGTTAAAAAAAAATAAATTTTGTTGCACTACAGTATAATTATCAATTTGATCCTTACAATTTCTTATCATTTTATTTTCTTTGTTGATTAAGAATGACTCAACAATAAACTAATTTTAAGGATGACGTTTACTCGGGTTTCAGAAAAATGAAATGACATTTTATAAAGTATAAAATGTTCAATAAAAAATTGTTCTAAATGGATATAATAACCACAATTTAACTCAATATCAATTTAAAAATTTAAGATTTTACTAGTTGAAGAAAATATGCTGTAACAAAAATTAATGTATGGTAATGCAGAGGAAATTTATTATTTCACATATGTTTTGAAACATCATTTTGCAAATATTATGTGTTAAAGCTCATAAATTATTTCAAATAATTGAATGCTATGAAATAAAAAATCATTTCAGACAATATATCTCAATATTTTAATCATTGACCCCATATAATATTCATACCATAAGAATAAGGGCAACAAAAATAACCCGATGCTATAAATAATTTAGAGTTCTTATCATTCAGATTTTTTTAATATTCGATTAAAAATGGGAAAAAATATAAATTTGACAGAGGAAATTCGGATCGTAAAAATTATAAAGTTTATGGCCCAAACTCTAATCATTTCTTTATATGAAGCAACACTGTTCCATGGCTATAATATTTCATTATTTAAAGAGTTTTATTCTTCTAATATTTTGTGTGTAAAGAAAAAATTGGTCATAGTACGAAAAATTGAGGTATTTTCCGAGAAATACGAAGGGACCACTAGCATGGAAAGTAGGTCATTGACCTAGTTATTTGAAATTGGAATTTAACACAAGAGACATAGTTGTACAATATGCAATAGGTGGTTATTCGTTCTTATCAGTGGAATTTTCGGTCTTCTGAGTAAAGGTATACCATAAAGATTATTTATTTTTTATCCAGATCAGCAAAAGTCCCAGCGTTTATCTGTAGCATGGACGACCACAAAGGAAAGGTGTTTCTAATTACAGGTAAGAAAAACTAAAATTCTTAAAAATATACACAACTATGTCAAATTGGAATACCCGCAAGTTTAAAAATAATTATTGACATTGCCCCTAGGTGCCAGTTCTGGTATAGGTGAGGGCATCGCCGTCCACATGGCTAGGTGTGGCGCAAGTTTGTCACTCACGGGAAGAAATGAGGTCAATTTAGAGACTGTAAAGGAAAGATGTCTGAAGGAGGGTTTATCACCGGAAAAAGTAAGCCTATTAGTAAACAGAATAACTTTCATTACTGTAAAGTGAAAATGCCTAAAGGAGGGTCTATTACCGGAATTAATTAAGCCAATAATTGAAAATTTAACAATTTAATTATTATTTTACTATTAAACCATTTTTTATCAACAGATACTGCTTTCCGTAGGCGACATTTCATCCAGAGAATTTAGAGGGTCACTAGTGGATCAAACAATACAAACTTTTGGAAAGCTTGATGTTCTGGTAATTATTATTTATATACCTTCTGTAGGGTATTGTAGCGTCAAATGTGAAATACAATATACTTTAAGTTTTCCAAAAAATGTACTCTTTTGCAAATGACTTTATCCCCTTCTAGATATCTTACTTCTAAAATGACAACATAATTACAGGTACTTGTCTTTCTGATTATTAAACGCAAAATAAACTAAGTAATCGGTTTCATGAAGAGTTGTGACCGCCTTTTTTAATTTCTTGCATCAGTATGAATTACAAATACTTATAAATTTTTGATAATTTTTCCTGTATCTAACGATTGCTTATAATTTTTTTTTTAAGATTTACAATGATATATCGAGGTTATAAAAATATTGATCGAAACCATGTCAAAACATCAGAGCAATGATTAAACTGTCACCAATTCTGACAGAAAGTTCTATCGATTTCTAAGCAGGTCAATGGCTAATCCCATCAAAATAACTGCACAGAAATACAACCAACTTATACGCGAGTAAATATGGCACTTACCATAAAAAAGGTCTTATAACCAACTGATGATAATAATACAAAATTCTACCTACATTGTAGATATGTATGACTTACTCAAGACTAAACTTAACAATGATTCTCAATATGGAATAAAATATGTGGTAAATTGCTTCATAGCCATGTCTACATATGCATGTATTAGAGTACTGCATTTATTTCAATTACAAGGTAAATAATGCGGGGATGGCAAAGTCCATAGAGATATCCAAGGATACAGAGGAAAACTTTGATCAAATTATGGACGTCAACATCAAAGCGGCGTATTTTCTTACCCAGAAGGCTATACCATATCTGAAGGCGACGAAGGGTAAGTGTGAGAGCGTTTGACGACATATCTTGATAAAAACACACTTGGGCACAACCAAATCAAAAAAAAATGAATGAGTCTGTTATATAGAGTGTCACCAACCAAGACACGGCTGTACGTACACGGAACAAGGGTCATTCTGACCTGATTCCTTACAACCTATTGATGTGTTCGGAACCTTTCATTTTTGTTGTTCTGCAAATTATAAAACACGATGAGTTCAAAGTAGCTCTGGCAGTGACTTTGGCGAGAGTTAGCGAGACTACAGCTAGATAGGGTAAATTATTCACGGAGATGTGGCTAGGAAGTGACTAGCACGTGGAGACACGGTAAACAGAAAAGTTATGTTGCGTTCTAGTTTTCACCACCATATTACATGTATATCATTCTGTAGAAATGCACTTCAATCGATCTCTCTTGAATTCATTCAAATTGAAATTATAAGTACCGGTATTCTCAATGATACAATTTTCTGCTGTCATGGATAATAATAATTTCTTTTTGGACAAATATTTTGCATGGGAAGCAAAACTACATTTTTTGGCGTCAGATTAGCAAATGAGGCACCATTGTGACTTCAACTGACAAATCAGCTGAATGAGAATTGCATTATTGGTTACTACGAATACTACAGGAATTTTACGCTTGGCACATTCCTTTATTGTAATATCGGTGAATACAGTTGTCAGGTGGATTTTCTGGCTAACACACGTGATCACGAGTATAGTTATGTGAAAAAGGTTTTGTCCATTCAAATGCATAAGAGAAGCTGCTCGTTTTCCTTATCCTAAAAGTGCTGTGTTCTGAACTTGACACTAACTACGTATACATTTTATTAAACATATATTTTTCTAGCTATAGTTGACAACAAATTAAAAGGACCATGATATCTTTTATAGTGTCTGATAGTGTCCAATGATTCCATTTTGTTCATTAGAACATTTTTTTTATTTAGCACTCATTGACATGATCATAGATTGACCTGAACCAAGTGTTTGAAGTAATATGTAAACATTATTTGGTGTAAACGTATTCAATCAACAGTTGGTCAGTTGCTCGTGGTAAGATCCTCTGTGCTCTTTAATAGCAATGTCCATGTAAGGCAAACAAAGGTTTGTCAGTGTAGATGATCTTACACAATTTTTTTTACCAGTGGATCGGTCGCTAGTGAGCTGTAATTTTTGCAGTAAATTATGATAAGATATATTACTTGTTATTTACCACCACCACCACCCTTCCCCCTTAGCCACCCATTTCTGTTAAAAATCATGAAAGTCTTTCAGAAACGTCTGGGAACAGTTTTTTCACAGGACATGTTTTCAAAAGAAACAGACTATAGCAATGTCCTGTTTACTACCAATTTTATTTATAAAACCGGTTCTACCCTATACCAAACCTAAACCACGTGTCTTGACTTTAAATCACAATAACATTAGTAGTGGTGCCTCAAGTCTGTTCGAAATCTGAAGACTGAAATCCGTTAGAGTTGTTGTTCGTTTTACTCATATACACGTATCTACTAGTCTTAGTTTTTTATACCCCCGCTTGAAAAGTTGGAGGGTATATTGTAATCGATATGTCCGTCCGTATGTCTGTTACGCTTTGGGGTACCCATCTCTTCGGACGATTTTCTCCCTAGTTTCGACTTTCAGTAGGGCGTGGCATCCTCAACGCTACGTAGTGGCGAATACTAGTAGATTCTCATTGGTTAAGAAATTAATAAGATCAGGAACTTAAAATTGTTGTTGACAAGGATGAGAGGACTTATGCCCAACCTCTGTGCTGTGAGAGAACTACTTTTAATTGGCTATTTACTACACCCAGTTACATTCTACCGCATTTCTAACATATGCATATTTCAAAAGTGAAGGAAAACTGTGTAAATTTGAGAAGCTAATTAGGTAACGTCGAGAATGTCACGCCTTACTGAAAGTCTAAACTAAGCTGGTAATGGTCCTATCCGTAACTCCTCTTAAACCACTGAGAGAAATTTAATGAAACTCTCACAGAATCTTTATTACATATTGCCATTGTGCACCTCCTTTTTTTTTTTTTTTTGATCCGACACATATTTTGGCTTCCCCGGTCACAGCAAAACATGGACTTTGCCACTATAATCATATGGGAGGTGGAGGTATCATTTAGTGAGCTCATTGCTCACAGTACCTCTAGTTTAAAATTTATCAAAAGTTATTTTTTACACATGTACATCCAGAATCCTCGAGAATGAACTCAAGATCCATCACCTAGAACTGTAATTTGTGGGTTTTTTTAAAACAATAATATTTAATCAAAATATAGAATAATTGACCTTTTTTAAATGGACTTGTTTGTGCTTCTGAATCATTGTTTATATCTGTTAAATTTCAAATCGTCTTTCTTTCAGGCTGCATCATTAACAATTCCAGTGTTCTTTCAACCTGTGTCATTCCGGAAGTATGATTTATATTTCCTAAATATGTAGAAAAAAATGATAAAGATAAATATTTAAAGAACGTTTTATATCTTGATATTTGTAACATTTGTAATTTCTAACTCATCTCAGCCAAAGGCTTTCGTGATCATTTTTGGTTGAAGGATGTCCGGTGTTCGTCTGTTGTTCTTCTCGTGTGCTGTCTCCTAACTGTTAACTTTTCACTTTGTTTTGACTTCTTCTCAAGAATCACTGAGCCACTTTCAAAAAAAGTAGCAACAAGCTAAATTAGAGAATTTATGTCCCCCACTTAGGGAAAAAGTAAACCATGCGCAGTTCGGGGAGAGTGGGGGTCGGATCCCCCTGACTGAATTTGTAGAGATTCAAGTTTGTTCAAATCATGACCCCCGGGGCTAGGGCGGGGCCACAATGACCGACCAAATTTTACATAGAAATATATAGGAAAAAATTTTAAAATCTTCTCAAAAATAGCAAAGCCGTAATTGATCATATTCATATGGAAATCCTTAAAACTATTATTGAAAGAATCTTCGAATCTTTGTCTCATGAAATACACAAAAACATGTATAAGTAGTCATAATAATACAAAAGCATCGAAATAAATTATGGATTCAAATGCATTCAAAACATGACCCCTGAGAGAGTCAGGGATACAACAATAGATCAAACTTTTAAATAAGCATCTTTAGGATTTACTTTTATTTCTTCTGCAGGGCTAGGGTTTGGTGATGATAGGATCTCAGAGTTTTACATAGACATGCAGTCTATATAGCGAAAAAAAAATTCAAAAATCATCTGAATTCTTGATTAATTTAAGAAATGCATGCATGGAAACATCCTCAGATAGTGTAGATTCAAGTTTGTTCAAAATGCGACTGGGGATGGAGGCATTTTTTTACATAATTGAACATTTCTGGTTTTCTCAAAAGTGTTCCGGTGAATGATGTGGTCCATCGGCATTTTGTATTTTATGATAGATATCTGAGAATTGTGTCTACTCTATGACTAAAGCAGCAATGGATGCATTCACCAGAAATTTAGCTATTGGTATTGATATTAAAGTCTACTACCCTTTTGATAATAAATTTTAGTAAAACACTGTGAAACTGTATTCAGATGATATAATTTTCCGTACATGTGTGCATTGAATAACATTTTTAATTTTTTTTTCAGAATTAGCGCCCTTCGGAATTCGGGTAAATAGCGTAAGGTACAAACGATTTATATAATACGAACAAATGTCCTTATAACATTGAGCTCTTAATCAGCAATTTAAATTTCTAAAATGATTAGAGTTTTAGCATTTTAATGCATCAGTTCACATGCGTTGTCAAACTTAAATATTCCACAAACAATTTTGGTACTTTTAACTTCAGTTGTTGTTTTATCTATTTTTGCCCGGAAAGTTTACTCTTAATAGTTTAGTTCAGTATCAATTTTGATATTTTTCGTTGTTTAAATTTTACTTACATTTCTACATTTTCTCTAGAAAAAAAGAATTTAATATCCTTGCAATTAATTAAGTTTACTTCAATAAAAAATTTTGTTTATAGTACAATATTATAATTTTAATACAAAATCAGTTCAAGCTTTTGAAGTTTAGACATTGAACCTGATGTATTAAGATTTTAAAACTCGAAGAACTTTTAGAAATTTTAATTGCTAAGAGTTACACTGTACATGGACTGTTTAAACTCTTTTTTTATCTTTAGACCAGGAATAACAATGAGTAACCTTGCGAGACATAACATAACAGATGAAGAAACCTTTAATAAGGTGATTTGTAAGACTTGTTAACAATCTATAGAGAAGGGCTATTTTGCTGCAATTAATAAAACTTGGGACATAGATAAAACCAACAATATGCTGTAAGCTACCCCAGGGATGGCTAGCATTTCCGAATCCTCAGCATCTATAGGCCATAGTTTATCATCTAAATAATTTATTTTTTTGTCAGGATGTACCAGTAATTAAATTTATTCTTACGTAATTAAACAACCAGGCACCACTCTGTGTAGATTCTTTGTTGCATGATACTCAAGATGATTGATCAGTCATACTCATCTTTTATTGTATGTGTAGCATTTCATTATCATAACAATACAGGCAATATACAAATATCAATATAAAACATGGCTAATTCTTCATACACACAAGTTTAGGTCGTCCAGTGTGGTAGAGGATTTCTAACTAGGCTAAATATGTGTAAATAACATTTAAGTATCTTTACTTTCTTTCAGTTTTTGAATGTTGTCGCCATACAAATAGCTGAAATCTGTCGTAGCGGATCGAGAGTACGCGCTTGCTTATACATGTATAACCTCCTATTTCCTGTCACATGACTCAAATTATCCAATGAAATTATGCCGTACAAACTATTAACCAATAAACAGATTGTACGAGAAGCTGAGTTCCCACACAACTACTTTTGCCACACAAGCTACCGTACAACATCGTAACAAATAAAACTATGTAAAATTAACAAGTGGAAATAGAACACATAAAATAAACTTGACTACACGAATTAATAAATTCCTTCAATATTATCAAAACATCCCTAGACTATACAATATAAGCTGAACAATGTAGCGTATGAATATCTTAACTACCGACACTAGTGTAAACAAATATAGTCAAGATAAAGATGACTGGTTATAAAGTTATTGCTTACAATAAATAACAACTTATGGCCCCAAATTACAAAACAACTCGAACCAAAATGTAGAATACCATCCTATTTTCATAACTTGAATGTGATAATAAATCGATTGATAAAATCGCATCTAGATAAGCTGACATATTATTTTCAATAAAATCATAAACGAACAACTTTCCTGGCAGACAATTTTGAACATAGATTTAACAAGAATGAGAACTGGACGACTACATAGTTTTATGTTTAAAAATCAAGTGATATATTACAATGCAATAGGTTTTCAACAAATAAATGTCAAGTACGCAGAGAAAACAAGTTTCTAAAAATTTGTGTGGAAAGTAGTATTTGTCTCTGAAACTGGTTTGGAAACTTTAAAAGACAGGCGCTACGTGTATATTCCAAATTAATCACAAATTAACCACCGGATTTAACTTATTCTTTTAGATACAGTATCAGAAGCTGTCAACTTTCATTTATCAAAAAAAAAATTCATACATTTTAGTTTTAAAATTTGATTATTTTTGTAAATCTTTATATGGAGCTCTTCTTTTAAAGGAGATCGAAATAGTCTGAAAATGGCTGCCACCTCCCAGCCTCTTTAAATGTGCCTTGGTATTTGTTCCTAACAAACGTGAAAATGTATCAAAATCCAGGAAGAGCTGTGAAGGTGTTAAAGGAGTCATGCATGGCGTCTAGTAAACTGAAAATTTTAACTTAAATAAATAGCACTTGTCAAACTCTCCTGATACTGATTTAGTCGCGAACTTTTTCTGACCAAATTCACATATATTTGTTGAGGTAGGTCCCTTCATAACATGTTGCCATCCTGTTTTTATTAGTTGAGAGCAGGATATTTGCTGATTTAGTCGCGAACTTTTTCTGACCAAATTCACATATATTTGTTGAGGTATCCTGTATTAGTTGAGAGCAGGATATTTTTCCGGATTTTTTCTAACTATAAAAACCTCAGACTCCTTCATTAGTTTTATTAGTTACTTAATTTTGCATGACATATATTAATATGTAATATTTAAGGAGTTGACATTGTTGATTGTAAAAACTTGAAAAAGAATCTTAATCTTTAGTCTGATTTATTAAATTGAATATGTTCAAATCAAACAAACGATAAATTTATATATTTGAAAACTGAAGGTTAATTGAATGTTAACTGAAAAATAACTGAATGTTAACTGATCGTAAAGATGTCATTTTGTTTCAGATGATGACGAAATTCGGAAGCGAGAATCCCTCTGGACGGAATGGTACGCCTGAAGATGTGGCCAATGCTGTAGCATTCTTGGCGTCTGACAAATCATCATATATAACAGGACAGGACATTGTTATTGATGGCGGACGTTTTGTTCAATATTAATTTAAATACCATTGCTTTCACAATATTATGCCATGAATGCTTCTACTCATGATACAAAATAGAGGGACTATCCTAATAGTTGATTAATTCAACCCAGATATATTCTGCACACTTGGTTTTTATTCTTAATTTTTTTTACTTCTAATACTTTTTATTTTGCCTCTTGAAAACTCCTACACAGTTTGTTCTAGGTAAAGATTACTTACCATAAACAACTGGCTAAAAGGACTTCACGGTAACTTGAGTATAATGTAACACTGTAAAAGATAGGCCATATTACATGTACTAGCTGCAGATCAATAGCATCATGGTTTTATATACTTGTCTTTGACCATAACGCTTCAGATCCCGTTAAGCAAAAAAGGTGCAATATACAGCGCAATCCAATCAACTACCTTTCACTCCCTAATTCAAGACATACTCTGTAGCCAATAGTAATATTTTATCAACCTCCAAACCAATTATAGTTTTCTCTACAGGCAATAATCTCTCTCTTAGAATTTTCAGCAATCTAACAACAAAATCCAATCAAGCGAGTTTATCACTTGTAGAGACGACTATAGAGGGTTGGAAGATGAATAAAATATACAGATAAGTTAAATAATGTGCAAAGAATTAGGGAGTGAAAGGTAGTTGATTAACGAATGTTAGAAAGTGGAGAAATTCTCCCCAAATATGTGCAAAAAATATTGCGCCGAAATTGCACCTTTTTGCATTACGGGATCTGTAGCGTTATGGGCAAAGACAAATTTATAGAACCATAACGCTACAGATCTGCAGCTAGTCATTTTACTTAAACATTATGGAATTTACAATGTATAACTACAAAGGATCATATATAAGATTAAGCAATTTAAGCTGATAATTGAAGGTGCCTTTCTAAAAGTGGGAGAATCAGCAAATCGTAATAATGATTTAATTACTGCTAATAAATACCCTCATTTGATAATATTCCCCTTGCAGACTAAAACTAACCTTTATTCTCGAGCGCTTTTAGAAGAGCAATCTCATTCCCTCTCAAATGAACTCTCTTCGTCTCAGAGGAACATTTAATGTACAATATAGGACAGACACCGCCAAATGTTTTCCTATAGACTTCTATACAATCTTGAGCCCCTGTCGCTCATACATATATTGAATTTTTGGCAAATGACCTTTTTGCCGTGAAAGTTCGAAATATTGGAAAACAAAACATGCCTTTGCACTTTTACTTTCAATTTCCATTTGTTTACAACTAGGTGCGTTTACCACCAAATAAAAATCTATAACCAAAGTGCATCCCTCCCTTCAAGTTTTTACCTGTTACTCCTATAATCATATCTCAAAGAAACCCAAGTCTTGATATACGATTTTTATCAACTTAATTCACTTGTCAAATACATAACAAGTCTTTTCTCTTATTGACCAATCACGCGCCAGGTAGCATTTTCTCCTCCGCACAACTTTGGGTGTCCGCGCCCATGTATTTGTTTATGTAGGGGGTTTTCCACAAAGATAAGTCATTTCTGTCCCATTTTAGGTCACCTGATTAACCTCAGGTTACCTATTGCTATCCGTTTCGTGTCCGTCGTTCGTTGTGCGTTAACATTTGAACTTTTTCAGCTTCTTCTCTGAAACTGCTGAACCAATTTCAACCAATTTTGGCATATAGCATCTGTGGGTGAAGGGGAACAAAAATTGTGAATTTCATGGTCCCTGCCCCTGGGGCCTGGGGGCGGGGCCAAAACCACTAAAATTAGTGCAATCTTTAAAACAAATCTTCTTCTTCACATCTGGACTTGAAGCAATCAAACGGTTGGAATGATTGTAATTAACATTCAGTTTTCTACGAAAATGTGGAATTTAATGGCCCCAAGTTCAGGGGTTCTAGTGCTAGGGCGGGTCTATGTAGTTTATATATTGAAAATGCATATATTCTTTGAAAATCTTCTTCTGTGCTCATGGGCCTTGAATAAACTAACCAAATGCATAGTTAAGTTGAATATGACTGCCTCTTCCAAAATTGTGAATTTCATGGCCCCAGGGTCAGGTGTTCTAGTGGTAGGGCCGGGCTATATAGATTATATATTGAAAATTATATTGAAAATTGAAATTATTCTTCTGTGCTCATGGGCATCAAATAAACTAATCAAGTGCATAGTTATGTTGAGAAAGGCTGCCTCTGCCAAAATTGTGAATTCCATGCCCCAGGGTCCGGGGTTCAAGTGCTTGCGCGGGGCTATGTAGATCATACAGTGAACATATATAAATTCTTTGCAATTCTTCGTCTGTGATCAAAGGCAATAAATAAACTAACCAAGTGCATAGTTATGTTTGATGAGTCTATTTCTTCCAAAATTGTGAATTTCATTTTCCCCAGGGTCAGGGGTTCTAGTGCTAGAGCGGGATTATAAAGATTATATAGTAAAAATGAAAAATTTCTTTGAAAATCTTCTTTTGTGCGCCTTGGTTTTAAACCATTGAACGATATACATAGTTATGAGGAAGAAGGATGCCTCTTTGAGATTTCAGAATTTCATGGCTCCTAGGTAAGAGATTCTTGTGTTAGGGCGGGGCTCTAATGTTTATATAATGAAATTAATTCAAGTACATATTTATGATGAAAAAAGCTGCGTTTTACAAAATGGTTATATCCGTGCCCCTGGGTCAGAGGTATTTGGAGAGGGGGGTACATAGTCTGAAAATAAATTAATTCTTTGAAATTTGGTATGAATTAACAATTTATGATGAAATAAAATTCATGAAATTTCCAAAATCTTGATATATGTAGCCCCAAGGTCAGTGATTCCTGTGGGATGGGGTGCACAAAAGGTAATAAAATGGAAGTGCATTTTCTCTTTGTTACTCTGATCTTCCTATGGGTAAAAACTAACCAAAGTAAGCATTTTAAGTGTATAATTATGATTGACAACAGTCTGGCTTCTGGTTTCAAACAGGAATCAAATTCAATTGTTGAAAAGTTGTTACGGAATATTCAGGTGATCTACAGGGCCCGTGGGCCTTTTGTCAAAAATGAGATATTTAAAAATCTTCTTAATCATTTCAAAGCTGTGAAAGTTTTTTATGTATATAATGTTACTTTTTTATAATTCTGGTATTCAATTGACATATTTTTATACATTATTACATGTATGTAACAGTGATTGTTTACTATTAGGTAACTAGCAAAGGGAATGATAACAAAAATAAAAATGTCGTTAAAAATACTTTTGCTTACTACACCTTTCTAAATTGTGGATAAAATAAAAAAAATTATTAATCCTACATGCCCAGGAGCAGAGAAGAGAAGAAAATTAAAAGATAGTGCATTTTAATGTAGATTCAACAAACGCCCAACTTTATTACCAGACTATGGATATCAACTAAAATGTTCTGAACGTGGGGGGGGGGCACGAAAATGGGGATACCCTGGTGGTAAACAGAATTGGGGATGCTGCTGGAGATTTGCCGTTTGATTTCGTGTCTGATGTATTTGAATTAACTCAGGTCTAACATTAAGAACCTCATTTGAGTTAGCTATTATCTCACCGGTGGAGCTTAAGGAAAAGCTTTGATGCGGGCTACAATTTGAAGCGGGTGTAGTATTTTGAGCATAAAATTTATGTTTGCGTTTCGAAGACAATTCACACCTAGTTCCTGTAGATCTTCTATTCAAGCGCCTACGCTTACTATTGTCATCTTTATTTATGAGTTCATTAGTCATTTTGACACTCGTAAGTTTAGTTGGGCTTATCATACACTACCCAAACGTGTTACCGCTAGTGTCTATTTTGCACATATATTTACTTAAACCTTGAACAAAAACAATGAAACAAAATATGGACAACAGTATATTTATTATTGTATTAAAATTTCTGAATATTGAAACAAGGTAGTTCTTAAGTACTGCAATAGTCGATTAAATATAAGGAATAAACTCCACGGGTTGTAATTTAACCGGTTCACTCTCATCTGACACAAAGACGGCATGAATTCACAGAATTGTAAAGTTAAAAGAAATTAAACCTTTTACCTAAATTCTTGACAATATTAATATACCAAAAAAGTAAAAATAAAATTCAAAGGTGCCGTTCAAGAACTCCTTGAATGACTTCCCCGATGGCTATTTTGACTAGATATATAAATTAGTATCTAGAAAAGTCCAAAAAAATAATCCCTGGTCACCTAAATTGTCGATAAAATCAGGCAATGAGTGTCAAATAAAATATAAGTCGTACAGCAAATTATCACAAATGACAATTTTAATTTTTATAAACAACTAGCATCGGGCACAAGTCATTATCTGCAGATATAAATGTGACCAAGTAATTACATATTTTAATTCATATATTTATTTAGGCTAATACCGTACTCACTTTTGTTAACTTATTTCTTATTTGATTATTGAATTTAGTGAGTATGATTCTAATATTTTGTAAAGGCTTTCGTCGAACACTCTTTGTAATCTCATTCCTGATTGGCGTATTTTTAAAATCAACTCAATCCACTTGCGCAGTAGGTCTGGGTATAAATACTCATGTTCGATTGAAATTACTTGTCCCGCCAGCCAGTTTTCAAGGTCAACTTCTCGAGGCCGTGCTGTCCGTAAAGACACATGCCATTGTCGTTTGTTGCTGTTTAATAAAGATTTAATCTAAACATGACCTGGTCTTGTTACTGCTCGGTTACATAAATTATGAGAAAATATGGCAAATCGTTGTATGCTTTCTAAAATATCAAGTTTATAATCCGTTCTTTTTCGATTAAGAATCGGTAATTTGCTGGATATAATTTTTATTCACCGGTGTTATGTATATTTCTGATGCCTTATCATCATCATTGTCAAAGGCAAGGAACTCAGCATTATTTATCAGTTCATCATTTTCAATGATTTGTAAGTAAGTATGCTTAACATCCTTTTCAAGTTCATAGGCAATGTCTTTTATTTTTTTATAAAAAGAAACTTGTTCGTCCACGGATCTACCGTCTAGAGATTCAGATGACATCGGACGACCATTTCTGTGTTCTACATCTCCTGAATTCTTCTCCTTCGGCAATATATCTGTATTTGAGTTATCGGTATTTGTTGTCATTTTGTGTCGCAGTTTCGTATAACGATATAAAATGACAGCACTTAATGTGATACTAATCAAAGCAATAGATGAAATAATTGAAACTACTAAAACGGTCTGAAAGTTAGCAGCGAACGATAAAGAACGAATACTGGTATTCATATATAAACTTGTTACAGACTGGTTTTCATTAAGATAGTTAAATGTTGCGTGCTGTTTAATATTTCTTGAGGATTTCATGTCCGCAAAATTTGAGCTTTGTTCTGGAAGACATCGTAAAACGTTAGATATCAATCAATTAGACAGCAGGTAAAAATATAAATATTGATAAAATTAAATTTTTAGTAAATTGTATGATACACATAAAATTAAAACCTGTAAATAGGTAACAACCATAGGCTGGATCACATAATGTTTCATTACATAAGCAACCAGACTGGCATTTGTCTCCATAGTTTGGATGTTTACACCTTTTCGAACAATCCTTCCCGGTATATCCTTTGGGGCATTCTAGAATTGAAATCTCCATAAGATTAAAAAAAAAAAACATTTAAGGTACATTTAAGAAGCCTTTATGACAAAGCTTTCAAATAACTTGAAAATACATACTTTCACATTTCCCAATGTTTGAGTTCCATCTGAATTCATTGCAGCATTCAAATCCAATTTTGCTAGTAGAAAAAAAATGTGACAATAAAAACATTTTTTTACAAATTTCCTTCGCTATGTGCTGTCATGAAAGTACTATTTGGTAGGTACCTACATTTTCATGAAATGCACTGGTTCTTTCTAGTTATCATTTGAATTACATTTTGGAAAAAACCCGATAAAATACAATTCTTGACTATTAACCTATCTGAGCAGATCTCCTAGAGACAAATAACTCCCTCATTCATGAAAAAATGAAATTTTGAGAAGATAATTAATGACAAGAGATGTAAAAATTGACTTCTTTTCGTTTATTTTCATACTTCAGTTGCTTACCAAATATATTTTTTAGCCTACTATGAGAAATATCAGCTTGATAGTGCAGTAAAATTTAATCAAACACAGATACGCAGTTTGTTGAAAAACTTTTTTAATTGAAAGACATAAAGTAAAACATAAAACAAATCGTTAAGGGGGATCACCTAATATTAAACAATTCATGATAAAACTTGAACATAGGTGAAAGGTATGTGTATCCCCTGAGACGGACTAGAAATTTACATGCATTGAAAATATCAGAGTACACGTAAATATGCAAAAAACATAACATACGAGGGTAAATCCTTGGAGGCGTCCAAACAAGTGCGCCACAATTAAGCCCTCAAAGAGTGTGGGGTAAACGCCAAACCAAACAATTTAATCAAACGGTAAAGTACAGAAATTTACAGTATTGTTTTTTACAGTATTTTTTCTTCTAGTAAATAACAATACTGAACATGAAGTTAACATTTGATGTTACATGCATTTAAGACTAGGTGTTCCTTATAGATAACATATACTGATGCAACAAAATCAATAAAATTCAACTGTTAGCTGTTCAAGTGTGGATCAAGGGAAACAATATTACTGCAAAGAATGTTTAGTATACATGTATTTTAAAAATTTATAAACTTAAGGTCCTTATCTTATTTCAAGTTAATGCAGGCAAATTTCAACATACAATTTACATGAGCAGCCATCCGCTGAACTCAAGTATCTTAACTCAAGTCTATGCAGGCAGATTTTAACACACAATTTACATGAGCAGCCATCCGCTGGACTCATTTACATTGTATCTTATATGTACTTCAAAGAAGATACAATGTAAATGAGTCCAGCGGATGGCTGCTCATGTAAATTGTGTGTTAAAATCTGCCTGCATAGTTTCGACAAAATATTTACATGAGCATTACATTTACAAAAATACAGTTTCTAAAAGCAGTCAAGTGTGACCTCATAAAATTTTAAACTGAATTATACATAGTTGATGACTACAGAGGATTCACATTGTTCAATATTTGAGCAGTCATATGCTAGTCTCATGAAAAGATTTACAAAATGAAAGAACAATTAATAATCTTATATAAGAAGCTAATACATTGGCTAATCTTGCTAACACGATAGATAAATGCGAGATGCTGACTTATCTCTATTTATGATGTTCGGTAGCAGTACATGTATAAGGTGTATGAGGGGAAATATTCAACTTTGCAATCCTTAAGACCAAGTTTGGCAAGTTATTTATAATCCTTATGTATCAGGGTGCCAACAATCAAGCTCGTGGATGCCGATTTCAGTCAATTTGCTCTTTGACACTCCTGTGGCAGCACAAATTTAGAACAATAACTTAAGTAAAGGAGGAATCAAAGCCTAATAACTTTAAGACATGTAACAAGAGAGATGTCATAAAACTGTGTACAACTGGACCAAAATATTTGAAGGAAAATAAAGAGTCAGATCTCATGTGTGCTGATATTGAACAATGTACAGTGTTTAAAACTCGAATGGACAATCTGACAACATACAATTATTGCTGTTTTTTTAAGTCAATACAATGATTTAGCCATCTAAGGAGTACAATATTCGGGCGAGGTGAATATTGTACTCCTCAGATGGCTAAATCATTGTATTGACCTCAAAAGACAGTAATAATTGTTTTATTATATGATTCACTGATAAAATGATAAAGCCCATTACTTGTTTGCATTTAATTAAGTCCCAGCCAAATACAAGAGAGGAGCAGAATTAAAATGTTAAAAAAAAAACCTTACCAGTCGTATCAATTTGAAGTTTTTTATCAATTTTAGTTCCCATGAAAAAAAATATAATGTCTTCTTTTGTAGAATAGATTTTGAAAGGAAGGAGTATTATCAGGGAAAACCGACTGCCAAAAAATTAAAATTTGTTGTTCAGTATAAGTGTTGAAAGAGGGGTCCCTACATACCCTCTTACCACCCTCCCCCGAAATATATATTCGCTTATGTTTTGTTCACATAAAAAAATTCAGTCGTTTAAATAGCTTTCCAAAACAAATTGTATCAATTTGGATTTCCCGATCTATTTTTATCAATGTAAATGAAAGGTATCCTTACATTCACCTGGAACGTCACGTGCAGGTCAATACAACGTAGTATTTTTCTAACATAGTTGGATCTCAGCCAATCAGAGAGATGGAAATTATTCAATCATATAATAATGCATGATATTGCCTGTCAAAGTATTTATCATGCCTATTGTTTGATGTTGGAGTACATGGGTGTGATTTATGTTCAATTTTGCTTGTTCACTTAAGTTCATAAAAGATGAATAGCATATTTGAAAAGTGCTGAAAAAAACAAAAGTTCAAATCAGCTTTGTGAATTCTGTGATACAAAGCGAGTGATGCAAAAACGGATCAAATTTACAATCGATTATCAAAATTAATCGGGCGCGATTAGAATCGATTACGTGTATATGATCGATAATCTGAACTTAAAGAGCTCGGTACACTTTAGGCATAAAAACGGCCCTGTAGATAAACCAATTTATTAATGCACACTTTACTTTTTTAAACATCAAAATAAAGAAGAGACTAAGAACTTTTACTTACCATAAATTTTTTTCACCTTAAACACCATGTCTTAGGACACGGGCTTTATGGAATTTCAATGTTCTTGAAATTAAACACTGGGTGAAAAAACCAGTTTCCCATTGTGGGAAACCTTACGGAAACCATATGGAAACCTCAAGATTACATTATGTTTCCTTGTGGTTTCCGTGCGGGATACTGGGTTATTCCCCCTTGATTCCGTGCAACGGAAATACCCTACGCTCCGATTCCATTAGGTATCCCAAGGCTTGGAATCCAGTAGAATCGCCAGTTTTCCCTTGATTTCGTAAGTTGTTTCCCGTACGGGAATCTTAAAGATTCCACTGGTTTCCGTGTCTCGGGATACCTAATGGAATCGGAGCGTAGGGTGTTTCCGTGGATGGGAAACTAGTCGGGAATCTCAATGATTCCATGTTTTGGAAACCACTTGGATACCATAAGGAGACCTGAAGATTCAACTGGTTTCCGTGCCTCGGGATACCTTATGGAATTGGAGCATAGTAGTTTCCGTGGATGGGAAACTAGTCGAGAATCTTGAAGATTCCATGAATAGGAAACTGCTTCGATTCATATAGTAAACCTTGAGTTTCCATAGGTTGGAAACCTAAGGGAATTGAAAGGTAGTAGTTTCCAGGAATCTTGGGGTTTCCCTTGATGGAATCTAAATGGATTTATTGGAATGATTTTTTTTTCTTGATGAATTATCTTTAAAATTCTCATACTGGAATTAGCTTCTGAGAATCTTCAAGTTTCTCAAGTGGGGTACATTTGTTATTGAATATTGATGAGTGAACCTTGAGGATATAGTAAACAGCAAAACAAATTTCAAGTAAGATGACATTTGTATTCTCAGAAATTATATTAATAATACTATCTATTCAAATTCACAACGAAGAAAAATTTAAGTTTCTCAATTCAGTTACATAAGTATTATGCAAACGAAATAAATCTATTAAAAAGTATAACAAATTTTAAAGATATACCAAATCTTCAACATTGTATATGTACAACAACAAAAAAATCATGGCTTGCTTTTAATTACTATTATAAAAAATACAATATTTTATACATTAAAACGAAATTAGTGACTATTAACATTCAGGGACTCAATTAAGTTACTACAGTATTATAAAAAATAAATCTATGAAAAAGCATAATTTTTACAGATATGTCAAAACATCAACACTGTATCTGTATGTAAAACATTAATACAAACATGGCCAGATGCTTTAGCTACTATTATATAAATATTTTATACATGAAAACCAAATAAGTGACTATTGATATTTAAGATCAAGGTATCACATCGACTATCAAAAGATCAATATAAATGAAAAGCAGATATTTACTTTCATAATCATAGAATCAGATTCCTGGGGTATTGACAAAATATAACCTCTGAAATCTACTGTATTTTACTGTTTGAACAGCTTAAGAGCTGTTAATAATTGATTTAAAAATGTGTTTGTGAAACACTGATGCACCGAAATGACAGCTTATTGTGTGTGTTGTAGTTTCTCATTTGCAAGTCCAAGGTCAAGGTCAAAAATGTTGGTATCCAAAGAAAGGTTTTGTCACCTTCGAAATATGAAAGCCCTAGTACTAGCTTTTCCAAAGTTCTGTCCAAGGTTGAAATATTTTAAAGTGAGTCCAACTCGAAGGTCAATGTCAAAAATATGTATACCTGTTGAAAGTCGTGTCAAATGTCACATTTAAATGTAAACACCTATATGTGAGTTCTTTCAGAGAAGAAAAACAATATGAGCGCATCCTATGATCTAAAAAATAAATCATGTCTTGTAATTCTCAGAAATAAGTCAATTATGAACTATTGGCTTATTTTAGATCAGAGGTTGAGCTCTATATTAAATTTTGAAAAATAGCTTTTATAAATGGCTGATTTTGTAGACTTTTTCAGAATATGACGAAAATTTACGCTTTTCGAGACGTCATAAACCTTTGGCTGGACAGAATATTACATTATTTTTGAAAGACATGCAATCTCCAAATGCTAAAAAAGATATTCAATGCATTGTTGTGGATAATTTTTTGTATATATGGACACAAATATCAGATTGGTTGTTGCCCACTGGTGTCATTATTGTTTTGTTGAGTGACTG